AGCTGCTCCAATACTGTTTGTCCTCCACATTCTGCTTCCACCGCTGGCCAAATGGCTATCTGAGAGTCCCAATGTCTTCTTTGACGATAGTATGAAGACTGATGGTCCAGCGGAACCCAGATTCTAATTCTTGACAGGACCGAGCATCACCTCTTGGCATCGTAGAAACCACCCCTCACGCCTGTTAATCCATTTAGTTGTCGAATTTGTGCGTTTGAAACTTGATCCCGGTGGAACAGCTTGCACATCGCTCCTTGCTTAACCATCAATTTGCCATCCTCAGCTTTAGTACCGTGCGTGCCAACTTTCAGCACCGCAGATTATGACCAGTAGGACGATTAAATAGAACTGATCTTTCTTCGCCCGTATGGGAAGCTCATTATCGAGTAATGACGTTGCAATACGATTAGTTCTGCTCTTTTTCTTCTACTGATTTCCCCTTATTAATATTCCATCATATTGAGGTATATCTGAATTTTAGGTGTCACTGTATGGTGACGAACTCAACGGGCACTAGTCTTCAAAGTGTTGCATAGTCGTAGCTTATCAGTGTACGCAGGCCAGCCAGGCTTCCTTTAAAGCATGACAAATTTTGCCTCGTACTATAGTGGCTCTTGTTTACGGCATTTCAGTCGAACGCTTATGACAAACTTTCGCAGCTATCGGAAACCACTACGATAATACTCCCCATTATAACGTTTTCATTAATCCAATCACTATAAGATCCATCAGTTCAATCGTTTTAACCCTGCCCATGATGACCCGCCGGGAGGGTGGATTTTGGAAGATAGAATGTTTATAATTGAGTAAAGTTATCTGCTAAGAAACTTCTTCCACTATATCACAACTTTATGTTGTAATCGTCTTGCACCAGAATATTCACTGTATATAAGCGTGTACATGAAAATGCTCCTTTGAGTGAGGTTCAAACAAGCATATGCTATAAATCTCAAAAAGCTATTGCAGTATTATATCAGCGCTCATAAATCAAAACGAGCAATGTAAAATGCTCCCTCTTCGCACGAGAAACGGCTAGAAAAGCTGTTACTCAAATAGAACTTGCGTTTTCCTGTCTAATGCAGTGTTCCTACCGTGAAAATGCCATAAGCAAATCTTACTTGCGAAACACAAGGACATCAAAAAATGAAGAACAAATGCAATGTAGAGAAGCATATGCTTCGGACTGATAAAAACAAGTGTCATCCACCGGTAAAGGGCAGTTATATTGCTACGTTATTCATCTTCAAGGTCGTAACGGGCTTACTATTTCACATCGTGTATGCGATGGCATATAAGGAATGGAAATTCCTGAACCATCGTTCGTGATTAGCGTGAGACAGCTGCAGCGGGAAAAATGATGTGCGGTGCATCTAACACTATAGGTGTTCAAATACCATAAAGTCGCAGCTTGCTTAGATGCCCCATCCCCAGCTTATGCGGCCATGAACAAAGGGGTATTGCAATAAAACGGAAAGAAATACGGCACTGGCACAAACAATGAGCTCGTTGCCTTGTACTTTAAAGATTCTGTGTTAAAATCCCATGCACAGTATAAAATTTTTTTGATTAGTCCCTGATACCCTTGGAAAAGGAACTGATCCCCTTTTGCTTCGGTACAGTCAGCATGGATATAGATATCACGTCTTTGACCAATGAACAATAGCAACAAACTAGTGCTCTGCTGTGATCATGGCGGAATACAAGACATTGACCGACATGCTATCTTAGGCATGTGCCGTTTGACTGCAATTCGCCTTCACCTTTCAGATAGTTTTCTAAAAGTTAGCACAAATTGTAAACCGTAAAGAAAATTTTTTCAAAATGAAGTCTGCTAGTACGGCGAAACCTCCAGAGACTCAGAAAACGGGTCCAATCGTTTGTGAGCCGCTCCTTTTCCTGATTAAGAGATCAGAATTGCAGTGGTTTGAACATTTTTCCAAAATGCCACTTGAAGGACCTGAGAGGGAGACTCCGTTCACAAAGCTATGTGGAGGCGGTCAGTGGATAAATACAAGGCTATATAACTGGATTATACTGAACTTTTAGCAACAGCACGTGCTAAAATCAAGTTTATAAAGTTTACCTGCTAATGGAGAACCGGAAACCTCTTGAACCAACAGCCCTCGAAATTCGACAGAATATCACGCTCTGAAAGTAAATGAAAGGTCAACGTTCCTTCAGAGGAAAGAAAATAAAAATATTTGCTATGATAATGTAAAGCCACTGGATGGTTCAGCTTTTGATCATGTAGTGTTGAATAGATCTGATTTCCGTACCGTTCTGCAATACAATCCACTCAACTTCGCCAATATGGTTTGATGGTTTTGCCTATCCGGTACTGAAACAGCAGATGGCATGAAAAGAATTTCGTAATGTGCTTTAGGGCTAATACAAATGCTTCCTCCAAAATCCTCCCATCCAGATTTGTAGCTGAAATCCCGAAACGGATCTGCCCCATAAGCGTTAGAGAATCTGTTAATTGCGACTGGCAAACCGTCGTCATCCGATCAATTGAGAATTCCTCAAAGCCTTCTCAGCTACTGTATTGTTCCAGGGTATTGTCTGACCTCATTTGGAGCTACCGTGTAATTCTGAACTTTGTTTCCTGTTCACTCAGTGCGACGAAGGCGCGCGATTGAGGTCATGGGATGATTATTATAATTAGTTATGACAACAATAGTAACAGGAGGTTCGGGGAATCATCATCATCAAGTATTTATCCTTGATACGATTATATATATCACGTTAAATATTAGCTATGACAATGAGGGAAAGCAAAAAGTTGATGATTGTTTATAGTCATAGCAGTAGACTCAAATCAATCAGTTAAAATCGCCTTATATAAAAGAGAACAGTTCTTGTAGACGCGCCTATGGATGCAATCGCCGAAATCATT